ACCTAGCGTACGAGTTGGGAAAGATAATTAATGTATAAGTAAAGACAAATACAAGCGTTGCTGAAGGGTTATGGCCGAGATTTAGTCATTGATTGAGATGTAGAGGTTAAGTATGCATCATTGATTTTTATGAAGCCAGAGGTGGTGTAGTGGCAAACTGTGAAGATTTCGATCTTAATATTATTCCACCCAATAACCATGACAAATTATTTTTACTGGATTCGAAGGCCGATCAATCGTTCAATTGCAGAAAATTTTATATCAACATGTGTATTGACAAAAGGTAGTAGCAAATTGAACCAAGTTTCACAAGCAAATACATTAATAGGAACAATTTTTCTGTTTCGACTATCGTTACCATAGAAAGTTTAATGATTTCATCTAATAATCTGCACCATATTATTCATTTTGATAAACTAGACTATATTAATGTAGAAATTAGTAGGTAGAATAAATTTACATAATTGATTGTGGTTTAGATTATAAAAATCTGACAATTAACATTGAGATTTAGGGTTCGAATTTAATTATGAGTATATTAATACTACTATGTTTTGTAATGTTCCCCTAAATCAAGGACGTGCCATGGAACCCCTTCTAACCTTGCAACTCCGCCCCAAGTGGGGGAGTACTGTGTTGCGAGTAAGACTCGCTTTGCTGAGCAAGGAGTAAAGTTAAACGAAACTCGAGTATAACTATAGAGGAGTGAAAGATGACATGTTGCTTCCGAGTAGGCCAAAAGATAACTTCTTTGAAGACAACCCAAAGGTTCGTATGTAGTATGCTTGGGATGTGTCGAATTAGATCCGCTCTCTCATATAAGCGAGTGATTGAGAATGACTAACTGGATCATGTAATAGCTAATATCAATGACGATCAACCAACTCCTAATAGAGATGAAAATTTTGAAAAGGAGAGATTAGTAGTCTGTAGTCAAATGGTCAGCATGCAATGTTTAGAGTGGAAACTAACTTACAAGTGGTCATACTAGCACGCTCGATGATATCATAAACCTGTCTTAGCATATGATTTGTGCTTCCTTTTGTGACACATGTTAGGCCAAATAAATTGGTTGTGACAAGCAATCAGATAACGAGGTAGCCAAAAATCTAAGTGACCACCGGTCAGAAAAAGGAAGCACATGGAATTCGAATCCGATGGCCAAAAAGGAGGCGAGATAGCAAATTCTTACCAATTGTTTGTATTTTCGAAATCGTTACAAGTTTTACATGAAACTTTAGCTCAAGAGTGTTCCAATGATGCTATAGCTAGGGTTGCATATCGTGGGGGTTTGCTTTAGTTAAGAATAAGTTGTAGTAACAAACTCCTTTGGTTAGTTTTCTCACCCAACTTTGTCCACCCTTTTGAGCTATACATGTTATCAATGAAACCCGTGTTCTTTACAGAAAACTAGAAACTAGAAATGCTTTCACCATCACGAAATGATGATTCCCTTGGAATATCAGAATCATTCCCTCTCGTTCATCCTTTGCCCCACCAAAAACTTGCATTTTTCATTTTTATAAGCTCCTATCCTATATGTATTGCACACATTAATCACATTCCTAATATGTTTGTAATTCCATAATTAATATCCCAATTGTAAAGTTTAAACAACTCTTTATCCCCCCATCCAACTTTTCATTACTACCCTGGCCCCCACTCTCATTGAGCTTCACTCATGGAAAATTATGTGCAAAATTGTCTATTTTATTCCTTTAATATTGGGGTCGTGGTTGTTGGAATTTAGATATCAAGATTAGTTAGGCAATCTATCTTCACCAACATGATAAAAGGGCAACAATGCATCATGTGGGTGTGCCGACTAACGCTTATTTCAAAGAGGTTATACCCCTTTTTACGTGCCCATTTGTTTATTGGATTTAGGGGGTGGCGGTTTCGGTATTTCGATTTTAACCAAAATCGAATCAGTTTTAAAGGCTTATTACTTATTAGTTTCCTTTAACGAGTAAATATCGATAAGCTATTAATGGTTTTGGTTAAAATCGATAACCGTTAATAAATTGGTCCCAATAACTTGAGTTTGCACATGTCCAGCGCCATACCATGTGCTTCAAAGACAATGGTTAACATTCAGGGTCGTGAGAACTTGAACAAGTGACTTCAACGACAAACTAACTCTGATACCATGTCATAAACCAGTTAATTACATGGTTATACCAATTACGATAAGACATAACACAACCGAAAACCAGTAAGCCCTTACCGATTTTGGTTTTGGACAACTGACTAATTCGATTATTTATTTCTAACGACGATGTTTTGGTACAGTTAACCGAACCCAACAGTCAAACCAAATTGGATTCAATTCTAAATTCACCAAAGTATATAAATATTTTCCAGGCAAACTGGAAATCCAACATCCTTTCTCCCTAGCTATAGCTATAATTCCCATCGTCCATGTGCACACAATATTATGTCCATAAATTGGGGCATTTGGTTGCGTCTAGCTACTTCCCCCATTTTTAAAAAAATTATTGGGCATAGATTATTTTTATAACTTGCCCCCAAGTTTCATGGAGAACATTCCGAGTCAATGGAGTTTCAAGTTTCAACTTATTCGCGAAAGAGAGAAAATTGGGCAGAATGAATATGTTTGAATGCAAATGTGGTTATGCCATAATCGCCCTAGTTTAAAAGGGTAAATTATTTAACCGTTTTTCTTCAAACAAATGTGGTTCGGCTATACTGGTCCTAGTTTAAAAGGATAAATTATTTAATTTTCTTTTATCGTATTGTGTCTGTTATCTTCTAACAACAACAAAAATTAGAGATCAAGAGTAAATATATATAATTTTATTAAGTTAGATCGATATAAGTAAAATGATAGGGTGTCCGTTGCTTTTATTTTTTGAATGTATTATCATGTTGATTTATTTCAACACAATAGCCTCGAGGTGGTGATTCTGTTATGTGCATTCTTTTTGTTCTCCAAAAACAATCACTCGTTATATATATATATATATATATATATATATATATATATATATATATATATATATATATATATATATATATATATATATATATATGGTTATGTCTTCGGTGCACTCACTTTTTTGGGTGCATTCAATGCACCCGCCTCATAATCGTCATTCTGAGCAGGCGATTCATGTGAAAACGATGTCAATCATCACTTGTGGTATGATGAACAAGAACCACATGAATTTGTACAAAAACCATTCAAGATTCACTTTAATTTGAATGATTCAGGGTTTAGGAATTTAGGGTTAGGGTTAGGGTTTACAATTTGGGATTTTGGGTTGAGATTCAAAATTGAAGGTTAATAGGTTAGGGTAATGGGTTGATTAGTTGGGATTCTATGTTATATTATCATATTAGACTAATACAACCCATTAAATTTCAAAATTTAATATATTATGACCACTTTTAGAGGTGGGTGCACTGAATGCACCCAAAAAAGTGAGTGCACCAAAGTAGCCACCTATATATATATATCTCATAGTTCGACTCCTGCAGATAGGCGCCACTCCTACATTACCCCATTGTGATCATCGGTAGGGTTGTTGTGCCTATATAAACTACTCTTATGAACTTGTCGGATATGAGACAAAATTTGTCGTGTTTAGCATATTATTCCTCGTGACGATAAATAAAAATCTATCTATTTTTAGCACATTAGTAACGCCATGACTTTCTCTATGACATTGCTTAATCTGCGGTCAATAACTAACCTACAACTCTAAATTTCCTTTCCCTCGGACGTTCTTATATAGACACAAATCTTTCTTGCATGATATGAAAGCAAATAAACCAAGTAGTCCAACAAGAAATGTAAAGCTAACTAACAACTACCATATTACTTCAACAGACAATCTCATCATGTCGTTGTTTTCACTTTTCAGGACTGTTTTTGTCCCGATAAACATAAATGATCAAAAAGATGAAACTGAAATTTACATTGAATGTATATGGTACCATAGCGCCATAATTACTTGATAGGAATTGCAGACCGTGGGTATCTCAGTACTCATATTTGTTTCGGAGTGCGAGTTAGATTGAGCGACAATTGTCCTGGTGGATATAGGGAGAGGTCGAGCTATTCTAAAGTGCGATTAAGCCAAAATGACGTGCAACTACAACTCTAGTTTTATGTGAAGGCACAGAAGAAAATTCATTTCTAGATATATAAAAAAAGCATGTCATTTCAATAGTTTAAATATTAACGAAGGTTACAAATAAGACAGGAGGGGGCGAAAACGATATTTGAAGGGACAAAAAAAAAACTACATACCTGCCTAATGTGACTATATTGGGATAGATCGAAGTACTCTAAGATGTGATTAAAAGGAAGAAGAAAAAAAACATATGAAACATCTTCAATTTCATATGAAAACACCAAAGAGAAATACTCTACTAAATATATAAAATTAAAATATATAAGTTAATTAACCCAAATTATCGGAGAGATGAAGTCTCACACTAAATTCCTGTCCCATTATAGTATACAGACGTCAAGACAACCTAATAGACAATGTGAAAATGGGATGTTATGCGATGTAAGTGTCTCATTCAATTCAAGATGTGGATGATACTTATGATTGACCGAGCGATAGCAAATAAGTAATTAAGCAAGTTAGGTCAGAATTTTCATCCGTAACCGTAATTTTTTAGAAGATTTCAAATTTCAACCATACATAATTTGGTAAACACATCCATATGTCCTTGACCTACTATATAGCATGGTGGCTTTCAAGTATGTATGGTCCCTCTTAATAGATGTGTCTTAGTCAAGTTTGGCCACTACCTTAATGAACTCCATAATGACCTAAATAATGGACAAACAAAAGAATGCCCTACAGGTTGCAGCCCTTAACTGCCAGCCATTATTGATGAACAAGATAATAACTACGCCCTAAAGGGTAATTAATCTCCCCATTGACCAAATAATGTCCTGACTTCCATAATTGCTTCAATCTAGCTAGCAACTAGCAAGCATTCCAATCCAGAGTTTACTTCTCAGTTCAATCAAAGTCACTAGCGGCAGACCCATTAACCTAAACATCATGAATGCGCCCCGATATATACAAACTCGCTTGCACTCATGTAACAATGTTGTTATACTGAAGTGAAACTGGTCAGCACGCGTTGACGCTTTTAAATCTATTTTTACATACGTTTTGATCCCGTTGAATCGGAGTAACGACCATTTCTATCCTATATTACTCTCACATTCAATCCAACTACTGAAAACACACACTCATGGGCCGTCCCATGATGACTTTGGATAGTGTCCTTTTTCCCTTGTTTTCAGCTTTTTCACATTACTACTACTCGAGGAATGAACAATTTTCAGCTTTACGATGCGTCGGCCCTGTTTTTCCAGAGCCATTTTTCCACATTGCTATGAAGTTAAAGCCATTGATCCCGCAATCGATTTCCTCCTCAAATTACAATCATGTGCATGTGTACATGTGGACCAAAAACCAACCAATCACCACTGAAAATGGATGGTGGACTGTGACTGGCGCCACCGGCAGCCTAACTAAGGTCTGATTGAACTCTGAAACCAACCCAGCTTTGACAGAGGGAAATAATGAAAGCTTCATGTCATGGCCATTGGCCAGGCATTAAAGTCTGATTGCGTACACGGAAGTTAAAGAGAAAGGAAATTGGTTGGGACGCCAACTGCAAATCTTGATGATGGAATTTAAAGATGGTGATGGGAAAGTAAAGGAGAAGACTGTTTATGGTTGGTTGCTGGAACTGTAACCTCCATTCATGGAGGCCATGCCAGGGGTTCGTTCCCCTGCTGAGTTATAGGAATCTCTGTATGCGGCTGTATATATATCAGAAGGTTGAAATATGGAACAGGTCCTCTGGTTTGTTTCCTTCCCCTGAGAAAAAACTTCCCATTAAGGATTCGAGTGACAAGGAGGACTGGACTGACTTTGGACTTCAGGAAAGGAAATAGACAGATTGGAGGTAGGATTGGGGGAGAGTGAATTGAAAAGAGGTCATATTTCTGAGGTCTTAGAAAGGCAACTCAGGAAAAGGAACATGCTTTTCTGAGTTCATTTCTTGTTGGAGAACTTTGAAAGCTTCTATGCTTTGATGCATCCCAACTTCTGCAATGAGCTTCGGATTTCGGAGCTGCTCGAGCCTTGGGTTGTATACGAGACGTTCGGGCTGTCGGTTGCTATGACATCCGAGAGAGGGTAACTTCTGTTCAAATGGAGTAGACTGTTTGCAGAACTGCAGACTCCCTTCAGAACAACCGTCTTGTGAACTCCACCCAACAGCCCTTCGTAGTCAGTGTCGCCGCTTTCTCCAGTGAAAACCACCATGTTTGTTAGCTCGACTCCCCACCGAACATACAGATACCTGAACAAAATGCCAAGGTTCTTTCATGAGGTATATAAACTACAGGATTTTCTGGATGTATCATACTGTTGGGGAAGGAAACTTTTTCCAACTTTACTATGTAAGGATAGACATTGGTCTACTCAGAACTTGGATATGGTTCTCCAGATTTGGAAGGAAAACTGTACCTGAGGGCTTGGGACCGAGAAGCCAACACCGGAATTACATTTATCCGGCTTCCATTTTGGCAGTAAACCACATGGCATCGAAGCGCCTGAATTCTCAATGCCTTGCGAAGTTCCTTGACTGGTGTAACCTGCAGAAGAAGAAGAAAAAAATATGTGCAAAGCTCCTAAATGGCAAGTTCATGATAAGAAACGAGTGGACAGAAGATTTACCAGTCTCTGCAATTTGAAAACATAGCAATAATCGGTCGAAAGTTGTTCAGAAGGAATGATACTATGCTCGTCACTATCAGCCTTCTTCTCCATAACAGAAGAAGCCCACCGTACTAAAGTCTTCCTGAGCCCTTCTCCACCCCAACGGTACTCGATATGAGAATGGTAATAGAAGTCAACCACGAATTGACCATCTTCTGAACCGGGAGCTGAGTAATAGAGTTCACTACCACTGTTGCAAATAAAAGCATCAAAGTCACTTGGGTTAAACCCTCCAGAAGCAAGAAATGACTCTATCTCAGTTATGGTCAATGATGTCGACAGTATGAACCCGATCGAGCCTTGGGTGGTCTCCTTTTCCACAGAGGCAAATATCTGCCTAATGGCTTCAACCAGAGAACTGTTGTCATCACAATCCAATGCAATGACAAATATATGTTTCCTCCTTCTCAGTGAAGGAAAAACCGAGCCCTGGGATTGTTCCCCTCTGTCGGACCTACGGGATTCCTTCGAGGAGCCCCTAGACCAAGCCATAACTGCATTCTCTAGTTTGCTCTTGTTACCATCACCCAGGTTTCCTTCAGAGTCGAGATAACTATCATTTCCTGAAGCTCCTTTATCTCCATCCATTGAGAACTTCAAGTTCAAGGAAATGTCGTTAATGTCCCTCAATGAATCGCCCGGTGAATCTAGGTCTGATGCGTCACCTCCATCGTCGCTTTGCTGCCACTGTGGGTGCCTTGGCTTGCAAGCAGCTATTCGGGACAAGTAGGTTTTGCAATGCTCTGGCCATGAAAACAGGTGTATATTGTTCAAACCATTTTGCCGGCATTTTGCCCAAAGCTGCTTGTCAGCTACTAGCTTCAGAAGCGCATTAGCAATGGATTGTTGATCATGTGGGTCAATAAGAAGCCCATTGTCAAGTACCTGAGGAAAGATATACCTAATAAGTACTCAGACATTATGTAACAAATTAAAACTCCACAATTTGCCATAATGCTTGAGAATATGGCAACATGAGCAAATGGAAGTTAAAGTGTGATTCGCAATACCTTGTGAATGTCCACAGGGCCACCATTCTTTGTAGCGACCATCGGCAAGCCATATGCTGCTGCCTGCCACCCAAAAGAAAAGACAATGAGTTCAAATTGACTTTGATCAGTGAAAAGGTCACATACAGTTGAAATTCTTAAGAGTGTAGGATCAGAACCTCGATCAGAGTTAGCCCAAATGGCTCGATGAAAGCTGGATTAATGAAAACTCCCTGCATAGACATCCAAATCTGAATGAATGATCAAAGTATATGTGAAACAATCCAACGCACTAAAAATCCATGTGTATGAAAGCTCAGCCAAGGAAATTATCTATTCAATTTTCACTAATCACCAATTTGACTATTCAATCACTTGAGTTCAACACATTGTATGCAAGAGATAACATACCTTAGTCTTTGCAGCTAAGCGATATATGTCTGGAACATCAGCCTGTTTATGATGCTTAGGATATGCCACTTGCCCATACAAATCATATTTGTCAATTAGCTTAAGCACTGAAAGGACTACAGAGGCATTTGTACTTGGCATTTCATCTATTTCATCTCTATTCCCCATGATCAGTGTCTGAAGTTGATATAAGAAATAGGAGAAGAAAACAGAAAACAGGTTAAGACACTCAAAAGTGAATAAAATGCCAGATAATAATAAATCTCCCTCTAATTGTATGACAAGTCAAACCAGATTAGCAAGCTCTCTCAGGGGGCGGCATTCTCCAAATGCCTTGACCAATGTTGTGATGTTCTTCTTAGGGTCTGCCCTAGCAAGTGCAAGTATCATTGGCTTGCGAGAATTAGTGAAGAAGCGCATTATCTGCACAAGGTATAGAACACGCATCAGCTCCAGAACCACATGTAGGAAGGAAAAGCAATGGCACCCTTATGTCTGAAGGCTACAAGGGCCAGGTCGGACAAGAAAGAACCTCCGGCCATATTGGTGGTTCAGGAGTAGTAGGATGGTCGTCATTTCCTTCGATCTCACCATCAATATCACCATCGTGTGGGACAATGTGATGGAACTCCATTCCAGGAGGGATCACCTGCACAGAAATGAAGATGGTTTATTAGATCATACTTTAGGCATGCAACATGACAGAACAGGAACCATAAACATCTCCACTTTCAACTACCATCGAACATTAGGGTAGCTGAATGTATAAAACTAAGCCTTTTTAACAATTCCATCTAGCTAGAATCACTGGATCCACATGTTTCTGGTTGTTGAAAAAACAAAAGCAGAAAGATACTGCTCGAAGTTCAAAGCAGTTCTACTTCAGGAAAGTAATATGTCGGGCAACTGAAGATTGAAAGATAATTCAGCAAAGTAGCTAGACAGCACATAACCATGATAGGAAATTAAATGACATAAGCATTACTAGAGTAACAACATCTATATACAGTCTGCCAGACGGTCTAAATCATAGATTGCTCAGCCAACCCAAAAGAAATTATATTCCACCTTAGAGCATATTAACAAACTTAACCATCTTTCTAATACACAGTATTAGAAATGCGCAACCCAGATAAACAAAGACAGTAACCAGTGTTCCTGCATACAGATTAAGGATAACAGCCTCAACCAATCAACTTTCAATGCTTATTTGTGATAAGAACTTTCGTATTCGAAAGCAAGTTTAATACTTACTGCCATACGAGGCATAAACCTTCCATAGCAGCTGACATTGCGCCTGATTCTTGCCCGCAGTTTACGTTCCAATACCGGATCAAAACCATCATACAACCTCCACTGTTGCTCTATCTCTTGTCTAGTGCTTGTTATAACAATCTCAGATGCATCAAGTGTAAGTTCCTCGGCCTCAATCCTACGCATTATTTTGTAAGTGGTGTTTATTTCTTCTCTCGAAAGTCGACCTTGTTTCAGTAGTTGATCCAACTTATCCCGCCCAAGTGAGTGGCCAGTAAAAAGCATTGGCACATTTAGAGAACCGGATAAAAGAGCTGCAGAGTCACCAGCATCAGCATAGTGGCCATGGATGGCAACTGGCCAAACTGGTTTCCCTCCACCAACTTGTTCACCTAGGACTTTCGACATCTGGATCACATGGCTCAGCGCACCATCAACGAATTCTGGGATGTGAGGCCACAACAGTTCTTTCTCAATATATTTGTCCTTTGGTCCAAACGGTATCCGAACAATATAGGCACCACTGCTCTCCCCCATCTCATCTTCATCATCTTCCAAGTTTCTAAGAGTCAACATCTCCGTGGGTTCACCATAGCTCCAATCTACATCTGGAGCTGATACTTGTCTTGTTAACAAATCAACACGATACACTCCTGGCATGGAGCCCAAAGCTCTTGCAAGTTCCACAACATACTTAACCTATGAGGACAAAAGAGCAAACCTCAAAAACTCTTTTCATTGACACTGATAAAAGTAATGAGACCAGTATACTCCAAGGATAAATACCTGACCACCAGTATCCGAATCACGTCCAAGCTCCATACTTTCTCCTCGTATAAGTCCATGAAGGCTGCATGCATACTACTCGTTAAAAAAGCAAATGGATATATGAAAAGGAAGTCCTAAAGTGCAGCTTAATATCACAAAGGAAATACTCTAGAGACTTCCATCCAGTTTGAATTCAGAGCCTAATTCCTAACAGCAGACGAAACAAATCATAGAGAAAAGAAGCATGAAAGAAACAGACTATTCATTGGGATATACTACTGAGTTCTACTTCTATCACATACACTGAGCAAATTAAATACGTTATAATATGTAAACACCAAAAGCATAAACTTGAACTCATGCCTTATCAGTACAATGTATAGCTTTTTGCCTTTCTGCTGGCTGGCCCATGCTTCCATAGCATCAGCAGAGTTAATCCTGGGCAGTCTTCCCCGGATACTCTCACCATGGGTTGATAGATCACTAGGTGCGTCTCCCTTTTCACCCTCTGACAAGTCTTCTGACATGTCGGCAGTTGCTTCCCTTCGGCCCCTTTCACGCTCAATATGGCGCTTAGCATTTGTCTGAGCTAGCTCTCCCTCAAGCTACAAAAGTTCCAGCTCGCCAATTAGTGCTATATTCATCAATTTATTGGCTAACGACTGAATTGAAAACTCGGCAGATAACATTAAAGAAAGTAAAGAGATTGAATGTTCAAATAGAAGGCAACATAGATTAGAAGCCACTTTCGACTCAGGACAAAAAAAACATCGTTGGATTAAACACTTGCTATAATGTATCGAAAAAGGGAGGGAAGCCACAGTTGTCATACACACAAACCCTCCCAACATTTCATTTCCACCAATAACGTTTCATACTACTGTTCATAAATCATAATCAAAAGATGGAGAGAACCCGTTGATAATCAACTTCCAACCAAACCATCAAGTCAAAAACCATTCAAATTGAAATCCAGAAATCCAATGCACGTTCAATACCAATCATCCGATTCATCTGTCCCAAAATGAAGAAAAAGCAGATCATCACCCTGAATCAGAACATCAGTGAAACATTTAGCCAAACGGACATCACAATTCCACATATACACCATACCAAACTCAGAAATCAAAGGCCAAGAAAGCTTTGCGAAAACCAAGAACAAACCTGCTTCTTCTGACGAGCCAAGTTCCAAATCCTCCAACACATATTCTCCAATCTCGTGTTCCTCTCCTGTGGACTCCTAGTCGCTGCAGCCTTTCAATCCACACCACATCCACCGGAAGAAAAAAAGCAAACGTATCAAGAAAGCAAAAAAAGAAAGCAATCCCGATTCAAGAACTCCAAAAACCAATCTCCAATCGGGTAAAAAACACACAAGCCGAGCAAACTAACATCATACTGCCTTACTCACCTTGACCCAAGAGCGATGAAGATCGGTCTCATCGAACCCAGTGATGACTTCCTCTACGAAGTAGCGAGTTGGACTGAACCTGCCTCGCTCCCTCAGCAACAGAGACGATTTGGCGTCGTCTAGTCCAGGACCCACGTCGAGAATTGCTTCCAGGTAACTGTTTATCCAGTCGTTCCCCGCCATTGCTGCAGACCCACTAGATTTCCCTCCCTCACTTGGTCACCGGTTTCCCGGCGAGAGTGAAAAAATGGGGAATTCACCACAGTCCGAAATTCGAGCTTCTTCTCCGTCAGGGTGTTGGAGAAAGTGGACTGCGGTTAAATATCATTGATGAATGGAGAGAGAGAAGAAGAGGGGAGTGGTAGAAGAGAGTGGAAACCGGAAAGAAGAAAAAAGAGCGGGTTTTATACACTTGCCATAGCTGCCTTGAAAGTTGAAACTCTTTTTTTTTTTATTCTGCAAATTTTCGCTTTTATTTATATAATATTTCCCCTTATCTTCATATTTTCCTGCATCTCCTGCGAACCGTATATTTTTTTCCTCAAATATTCAGAGCTTAATTATCAACCCCTCAAAATGTTTGATTTCTTGACAATGATAGTTGTAATTTCTTGTAAGAGTATATTAGAGGAAATGGGGAAATAATGATTCAGCAGAAAGTCTATGGATCTCCAACACCTTATCACTACACTACGATCCGTAATGAGATTGTTGAATTACAAACTTGTTCATCATTATATATTGTTACATATTTAAAGAACTTGTCGAAAAATATAGAAGGCTAATCTATTATGTGTTGAAAAAATTTTCAATTACGAATTAAATTAAATTGATGTTATAAGTATTGTTTGAGCCTGGATACCCCCGAACGCTTTTCCTCCACTTTTCCGCTTATCCGTCACTTGGGCGCCTGGAACCTGCACCCACAAGCGCCTAAGGGCCTTGGCCGACCCGTTAGCACTCCGAAGCTCAAGTCAGTGCTCTTCTTCTAGGGAGATAAGTGTCAAGAAATAGTTTAGTGAGAGAAGCCAACCTGCGTAAATGCTGTCGACTGCCTCTATTTATACTCACCGAACCCGAGGCTGATCTCCGCCACGTCACCATTCTCATTTAATGCTCTGCGCCACCAGACAGCTAACCGCCCTGTCAGACTCCTGACACCTGACTGACATCCCACAGCTCTGCCAGGCTCCTGACACACGACAGGCGCCCGCAGGCCGTGGTCCACCAGCCAATCGGCCGCCACCTGGCTTTTGGTGCTCTGTGAGACATCTAACCGCCCTGTCAGACTCCTGACACCTGACACACGACAGGCGCCCGCAGGCTGTGGTCCCCCAGCCGGTTGGCCGCCACCTGGCTTTTGGTGCTTTACTCTTGAGGTCCTTCTCTTTGTTTGGGCCCAAAGGCCACTAGTGGGTATAGATTCTTACCCTTTTGGGCTTTGCCCCCCAACTCCTCCTTTGGGAGCCCAATCTCCTAGCCTGCTGGGTGATACCCCCAACAATTGCCCCCCCCAGTTAGGTGCTCGTGGCTTCGCCTTCGAGCGCCTGACTGACTCTCTAGTTGTAATCCGGCCTTCTCTTAGCCACAGGGCGCTTGTCACCAGGCGCATGCATTGCGCTGTCACTTCTTTCTTGGTTCTACGGGGTGTGTTTGCCTCTCCTCCTCTGCGGGCAGGCGTCCCACCTTTGGTTGTGCCCCTTGTCAAATGCTCTTTCATGTGCTTCTGTGCCTCTTGCCTGCTGAGGCGCCTTTTTCCAAACGGGCGCCTTTTCTAATTAACCCTTCCTTTCGGGCGCTTCATGGTGTCGTTCTTGACGCGTGTCCTTATCCCTTATGCCCCCCTCACCGACGCTTTGCTTGTCGGGGAAATTTTGAGAAAAGGAAATTCGAAATTCGAAATTCGAAATTCGAAATTTGGGAGTTGAGAAATTTCCCCGAAAAGGAAAGGGTGGGGGGAAGCTCAAAGGTCCGCCTGAGATTTTGTGGCTCGCGAAACGACCAAAAGGTGGGGGGAGCGGAAGGGATCCTTCGGCATGACTGACACGTGTCAGATGGCGGGTGAGTCCTCTTTTTCCTTTAAATACTCCTCCTCCCCTGTGGTGCTGTCACTTTCTTCCATTTGACCTCTCTCTAGACTTTTGCTCTGACTTCTCTCTAGCCTCCGCTCTGACCTCTGCCCTCTTTTCTTGCTTGTTCTTCGCTTCCAACACATCACTTTCGTCCAAGATGTCTTCTCCACAACAAGACAAGACCTCTGCCCCCGGCGCCTCAAACGCGGGCGCCTCTGGCGATGGTGGTGAGACAAGGCGCCCAGTTCAACGTGGTAAGTTGTCCTTTTCCCTTCGTCGATTTCGTTGAGTTTATTCTAGTCACCTAGGGTAGGCGTCACTTACCCCGTGCCCGCGTTGCGTCTGGGTCATTTATTGGTTTAGAGCGGGCGCCTACTTCAGCATCCGGCGGACCATCATCGACTGCGGGACCATCAAGTTCGTCGGCGCCTGGTTTCTTGCCTGCCGATGGGTCCTACAAGATCACCACGTGGGAGAAGTGTTTTCCTCCCGATCATCTGCCCACCGAGACGTCTGACTTACCGTTCGAGGTGGCCGGCCCAAACCACACGTCAACCGTGACTTTGGAACGTGTTCACGAGTTGGTGACCAGTCTCCAGCTTCCCAGAGATTGGTGGTATGCGCCCCCATCGCCGCTGTCCCGGGTGGGCGTCTGTGGTCCGAAGTGGATTGGGATTTATCAAGAGTATTTCCGCTTCGGGCTACAGTTTCCCCTTGACTCGGTCATGGAGGGAATCCTGACAACCTGCGCCTGTCCACTCGGGCGCCTATCTCCCTCAGTTATCACGGTTGTTATACTGTTCAAGTTGAGGTGCCGGCAGCATAACGTGGAGCCCACCTTCAACTTGTTCAGATACTTCTTCAAAATGGTGCCGCTCGACAACTGCTTGTCCCTCCAAAAACGGAAGAAGCGCCCCTATCATTTTGTGAAGAAGTGTCCAAAGTTGAACCGAAGCTGGTTCAACGGTTTTTTCTTCGTGAAGGCCTATCGCGACTCCTTTTTTGCAAGTGGGGGCGCCTTTATGAGGAAATGGGAGTTGGGTATAGTCGAGGCCTTTAACGCGCCAGTGGTTTTGACGGCGTCTGAAAAGGCAGGCGCCCCCTTAATTTGCGAGGGGGAACCCGTTGACTTGCGCCCCGCCGAAAACCGCCCGCCTATTATTGAGGCGTATTATAACGATGGTGTGTAGGCGTCTAGGTGTTTTATTTCTTCGCTTCCCTTTTTGTGTGATGGACTAACTTTTATCCGTCATATGCAGGGGCGGACTACTCCAGCATCGCCAAGCTAATGAAGAGCAGGCTGGCGAGCATGGCGGCGGAGGCGGCCGCGGCAGCGGCTTCGTCACAAGAGATGCCTGCTCATCAAGAGGCGCCCACCCAAGAAGAGGCGCCTGCCACCCAATCAAAGGCGCCAATGGCTGGCCCCAAGAAAAGGAAGAAGAGAGCAGTGAAGGGTGGCACCGCTCGGGCGCATACAGCGAGCGTGGCTTCGTCCGCGCCGGAGGAAGGCGAGGGGGCGCCTAACTTTAACCCTGCGGAGAAGGAGGTCAACTCCGCCGAAGAAGAAGAAGAAGAGGAGCCTTTGCTCCGCAAGGGGAAGAGGGCGGGTTCCTCCTTGGCCTCGGCCAGCAAGAAGGCCGACCGAGGAAAGAAGAAGGTGGGCGAGGAGGACGCCTGCGAAGAGGACGCCTTCGATGAGGTGGAGGTGGAGGCGGAGACTGTGGAGGACGCCCGCGTTCACTTGAATGAAGAGGGGCGCTACGTTGGCCCCGATGGGCGCCCCCCCATCTTCCGGCCACGGCGTACCGAGGTGGGACGGGTCAACATGAACTGCTCCCCCTTGGTCGCCGTTGACCGAGGGTGTGCCATGGGCTTGGCAATCGCGGCCGCCAAGTCCTGGCAAGTACCGTCCGAGGTGACCAGCGATCACCATTTTGCTGAATTGGCCCAAGTGGGCGCTAAGGTATGCCTTTTCGTACTTGTATTTTCAGATCCTTCCTACTTGTTATTTTGCACAACTTGCTGACCCTTGTCCCCTGGTTGCAGATCCTTCTTTTTGCGGAAAGAGGCGCCCGACGCCTCAATGAAACCAAACGGGAGGCGCTCGAAGCTTCCTCTTCGGCTGCTCAGCTGAAGTTGGACTTAGAGAACGCAACTGCACGCCGCGAGCAGTTTGCGAAGGAGTGTGAGGACGCCCAGATGACGGCCACCATGGAGTTGTCGCGTCTGCAAGGCGCCCTGGACGAGGAGCGCAATAAACTGGCCACCCTGCAGGCCGAGAAGGACGCGCTGGCGCAGGAATCTGGCGCCCAAGCCAGTGAAATTGACATCCTCAAGGAGGAGAAGAAGAGGCTGAAGGACGCCCACAAGGAGAGCGAGAAATCCTTGAAGAGGGCCCGGAAAGAAATTTCCGAACTTCGACAGTCTTTGGACAACTTGATGGAGTCAGAGACTGGGAAGTCCATGTGCGCCAATGCCATTCTGACCGGCATTGAAATCCTGCGGGGGAAGTTGCAGAAGGACCACCCCGACCTTACTTGGGATCTCTCGGAGATGGCCGAGTATGTGATCGGTGGGATGGAGACGCCTCGCTGGACAAGTGGGGCGCCCGAGTCATCTGCTCCCCCCTCTCCTTCTCCAATGGCGCCTAGTGCTGGGGATGCGAACTCAGGCGCTGACTAGATTAGCGGTCCTTGGGTGTTATCTTTTTCTTATCTTGTAATGCCTTTCCTTGCGTTTTCATTATTATTATATATAAGAATTTATGTTTCCTTGCCAATCGGCTTTGCTTCCACTTTAACTTTCCCTTTATTACCAATCTTCGCGTTTCGTGGTGCTCACCAACCTGCCACTAAGGACGATTCTCGGGTCAATGGATGTGTCTGGGCGCCTGGTGAAGTGGGCCGTGCAATTAAATGAGTTTGATATAAGTTACGCGCCCCGTCCAGCTATCAAGGCTCAAGTGTTGGCAGACTTCATGGCCGAAGGTGTGGCCGACGGAGGGCCGGGCATTGAGGAATGCTGGCAAGTGCACGTGGATGGAGCAGCAAGTCGGGCAGGCGCTGGGGCCGGCATGGTGCTCGTTAGCCCTTTAGGCGCCCTTCATGAAATTGCGCTTCGTTTTGCAACCCTCAAAACGAACAATGCGGCTGAATACGAGGCTGTTCTGGCCGGACTTCATTATGCGAGGGAGCTGGGCGCCCAAAGGGTTAATGTGAAAACTGACTCAGCGCTGGTGGTCAATCAGCTGAACGAAGTTTACGAAGTAAAAGAGGAGGCTCTATGCGCCTATGTGCAGTCTGTGCGGAAGAGGTGCGCATGGTTTCGAGAGGTAACTTTCACGCATGTCC